GCTTGTGTTCTGCGGAGCTTGCTCTCCAGTGGAAATGTTAACAGCTCGCTGAGGTTTGCATTTAATTGCAAACATTTTTCTGGTTTTATGCCCTGCAACATGATATTAAGTAGATGGCATCGTAGATTTTATAAATTGAGAACTTTTACTTGAGCATTTTTGTGAATGTGCGACTTTTGCCATGTGTTTAACAAAACTTGAGGTAAACTCTGGATTATTTATATATATATCGATATGTACTATTTGCTGATATTTTATACATGCATAAGAATCGATGAGAAAAAAACTAGATTCAGAACTACAGATAACTTAAATAATTTCTCAGTCAAATAAATTCATGCTAAAATTATAATTTGATGCTGTTGATGCTGATGTTATGTTTTTAATTTCATTACAAAACGAACATAACTCGTAGGACATAAACAACTTCATTCCAAAATCTGTCCATTAATGATGTAGAAATGCAGGCTGCTGTTACTCCCATGTTAAAATTATGTTAACATTAACATGGCATTAGAGATAAACATATTCCTTCCAAGGTTTGTTAATTAAATGATGGAGAAATGCAGGCAAAGTCTCTCGACTGGTATAGTTGAATATAATGATGTCACTGTGATAACCAAGTTAAAATCATGTAATGTTCTGTTTCCTAATTTCATTTACTTAACTTAAGACATAAACAAATTTATACCAATGTCTGTCAATTGAGTGGCATAGAGATTCGTGCCAAGTCTCTCAAGTGACCTGAATTGAGTTGTAAAAGTTTGTAGTAAACAAGTGTAGAAATTTATGCAATCCATGATAATTGCACATGAATAATTTACACGTCTTCGCCCTATTCCAGAGCAATCCATTATAACGTGCACCCAAGTCGCTTGGCCTCACCCTTATCTCGTCTTGGCGGCCATAATGAGCTTGTGGACTACGACAGCTGCATTCATTGCCAAAAACTGAACGTTTTATTAACGAAATGCGCTTTGGATTTGGATTTGGTGCCGGCTTTTGCCTTTCTTGTTGGTTGGCCTGTCTGCAGTGGCTTTGATGTCTTTGCACTGCGCAAAAATGTTTGGGGCAGGCTGGCAAAAGGCGAAAGGCGAATGGCGAATGGCGAATGGTGAAAGGCGAGCGCGCGCGCGTGCAAAAATAATTTATGGATACCATCAACAACCCTTAGAGCTGGAGCTCGGGATGATAGATGGCGTGCCAGAATGTCTGCCATGGCCTGGCAACCATGGCAGCCAAGCGAAGGCGAAGTCGACGGCAAGTTAACCCAAAACCCAAAAATATGCTGCGGGCGATATATTTCTCGCACTCACTGTCATCACGGCCATGTCGAGAGTGCAAGTGGGAGGGCGAGGCTGGGGGAGGTGGTAGAGCGAGACAGTTGCAGTAGAGTAGAGTAGCGTAGGGTAGAGTGCCCAGCACTTTGAAATTGAAATGTCGTTTCGCCTGGCGCTAGAATTTTTCATTGCCAATTTCTTGAAGAGCAGTCGCCAGGGTCTGTCAGAAGCTGCCACTGCTGCCAAGTGCTGCCATATTTCTGCCATATTTCTCGAGAGCCAACACAAATGTCACATCAATCTTGTGACCAGTGTTGCGTAAGAAGCAAGGAAAATATTCATTTTGTTTTGGCTGCCGCCCCTCCCCTGCCCCTCTGACCACACCCAACTCAACCAAAAAAGAAAAGTGAAATAAATCAAGTTCTGCGCCGCGACTGCATGCGTAAATGATTAATGACCCCAGCCAAATAGCGCGATTTTCAAATGACGAAAACAACAAGTATATTAAAATATATCTACATATATACATTACATATTTATATGCATTAAATGCAAAGAAATATTATACTTGAACTGTAGTTACGAATTATATAGTATTTGCTAGTTTTATACTTCTTCTTTTAGTAAACTTTAAAAATTCATAAAATTAAAATTAATTAATATTTTTGCTAAATTTTACAAATACCATCTCATCTCAATCTCATTATATTTTTAAAAACTCGTTAGGCTTTGATATTTTCTTTTTACTGTCATCATTATATTCCTGAATCAAAGTATTGGCATATATTGATAAAAAAAATAAATATGTTAATAAAATTTGATGAAAATAATAATTTGATTTATTTTATTATAAAAAATACATACTAGATATGTCATTTGGTAAAAACATTGATTTAAATATTTCGATATTTACTGAACAATAATACTTTAAACAATATTTATTTTATTTATTTCAATATTTATGGATATATTGGTAAATAAAAATAGCATATAAAATTTGAATGAAAGTATTTGTTTTATATACTTCAATATTTCAGCAACAGCAACAGATAATAAAATATTTATGTACTGATAATTAAAAATATTTGTAAATAAAATTTCGGTAGATATATATATTTATTTCAATATTTCAGGATTTAATGATAAATAAAAATATAGGAGGTTATTTTATATTATATTCACATTTTCTGCAATAATTAATTCGTATTTGCTATAATTATTTAAATTAATATAGTGATGCAGACTAAGTCTTCTAATATTATCGAGCTTTAATCTGCCATAAATAATCATTTGAAAATTGTCAAAAACTGAAGTTGTCTGTTAAGTTTTTATTAGGAAATAGTCGAGTGAAGCTAAACAACTAAATGTGTCGAGCACGCAGATGTTTAATTTTCATGCGAGGCAATAGGTCAACGTCATGTCATTTGAATAATGCTCGCATGTGGCGCGGCAGTTGCCGGTGCTGCGCGGCTTGCCGCAAGCTTCTTTGGTGGGTATACACCTGCCACAGTGGCTGAGGCTGAGACTCAGGCAGAGGCATGTGGTTTGGCGCATTTTATAAATTTTGCGGGTCAAAACGATTGAGCGCATGTGGAGCCAAGCGCTGTGAGGCCAACTGGCCAGCTGTCTCGATACCCTGTAGTCAAATGCCCTTGGGTTGTCTCAGTGGCATGTATTTTTGCCAGTCGTTTCTTTACTGGAGTGCGTGGTATTCGCCAGTCGATCAGCAGCAATCGCAGTCGGCTTTGCAACACATGTTGCTGTCGCAGCCGTTGTACATGTTGTCGTCTTGCCGCATGCGGCGTCTCTTGTCGCTGATTAGCATCGCCATCGGCATCGCCATCGCCGCTCGTGTCAGCGCGATAAGCTCCAAAGTCTCATGTCTCGGGCTTTGGCTTGCATCGATGTAGATGCCGATGCCGATGCCGATGTCGATGTGGATGCCACATTTTATTGCCGAACATGCTGTTTATCACGCGGCTTCTAGCGTGTGCAACCAAATAAGTTAGCTAGGTGTGTTTACTTGGCCCAGGCTCATGACAGGTAATGAATCTAGACGGAAATGCAAGGAAGAGACTTAGAGCGAGTTTGTTCTGGATTGGGCATCTTTCAATTTGCACATGTTGGCTTATGTATTTTTTATTCTTATAATTATTGCTATTATTATATCGAATTATAAAAAATATTTAAATTAAGAAATATATATACCCCTATGTTATTGACAATCTTCTTCTCATATTTCATTCCATTAAATTTATATTTAGATCACCTGAGCAACTGCTTAAATACTTAGCTTACTCTCAGCTCAAGAAAATCCCAATCAGGAAAATACATTTTGCGAATCGATTTCTGCCAGATCGAACACGAATCTCTCTTCAATATATTCCAAAATAAATTTGTTAAAAATTATTTGATTGTTCAAACCGAAGATAATTGAATTTATTGATTTACTTGACCTCACAGCTTTTTCAAATTCAATGTTAAATATTATGTGGACGTATATATTTTTTTCATATACATATATAATATGAACTTTAGCAGAAAATTTGGCATACATTTTTTTTGGAGATTCGAATTTTGTAAATCATACTTTCGACGGGCGACCATCATCAGAATATTTGAATATTAAAATTAATTGTAATGAATTCCTTAAGTCTCCTTAAGACTCTAAGATATTTGTCTCAGCCGTCTTTTATAGGGATTTTCCTGCTGCTCTGCCATAGATTCTGACTCTAAGTACACGCTTGAATAAGTCGTTGCTTTCTTGTTTATTTTATCATACCTTAAATAAAATAAATGCTCGCTTAAATATTTTTTATTTTTTTACATATTATGCCTGTACTTTTATTTTTTGATATTTATATTTTTCTATATTTATTTTTTATAATTTTATATATTTTCTGTAGTTCAACATGAAAGTTTTATATATAGTTTAGCGCCGACATAAACTGACTGGATGCAAAGTGCTTTACTCTCGATGGGCTTAGCTTCCATAAGAAAATATATTCGGTTTCTAAGACTTTTACCGATCTCGACTAATTGGGTGCCCCATCGATCTTGTTCCTCCTATGTCCAAGCATTAACGTAAATGCATTCGGGCATACATTTATGTATATATCAATTTCAATGGGGCAGAAGAAAGACAGGGAGAGGGAGAGAGAGAGAGAGGGAGGGAGCTTCCTGCTGAGCTGCTCGCATGCTGACTGCCGGCACTCACGGCGCTGGCTCCTCCGCGTCTTTGGATGCAGTCGCCTCTCGCCATGGCCGTGGGTCTCATTAGCTGCTGCATTCGATGACGCCAAACAAGCCACTTAATTTAAATTTAAATGTTTACTTCTCGCTTTGCGTGTGGGGCAATGTATTTGGCTCTACCCCCGACCGCCCACTTGCCCCACATGCTCAACAGAGTTTTTAGTCAACGTTGAGCGTTCCCTGCTCTCGCTGTCACGACATGCCAAGATTTATTTTCGGTATTCCACGAGCAACCCAAATGCGCTGTCAGCACAGCAGTTGCTGCCATACGTCGTCCCATCGCTCGGTCCTCTCGTGTAGCGACAGCTACATTAGCGTCTGATGGTGGTCCTACACCCCGCACCCTAACCTCTCGCTCTGCCTCTCTCTCTCAGTCTGTCTCTCACTCAATGCACTTGACACCCGAAATTGATGCGATTCGCGCCCAACCCACATTAATTAGGCAAAATATTGACAAGTGGACGTGTGTGTGGTGCGGCTATTGATTTATGCTCTGGCCGGGAGTTTGGTTTTAATCAATTCAGTTTCTGTTTGACTGCATCTAGTATTATTGTATTAAAAACATATATCTATTAATTGCATGATGTACTTGACGTTGACGGAGAATTTGCTATGACCTTCCTCTCACTTATCTCTCATATTTCTCGCATTCTTTGCTTTTCATCGCGCTCGACGAGACTTCATCGTGCAGCCCCTGTTGAAAATGCGAAGTAACAAATGAAGTATAGCCCCGAAACGTTGACGGTTGGGTTTACCTGTAAATTCATGGATTTAGAGAATAGAAAGAGGTAGAGAGGCAATCGCTTAACTAACCATCGCTCCATTTCGCCCAGTCGGCCTGGTCGCTGAATGCCTTCTCTATGGTAGGCTCTTGTTGGGTTCGGGATGGACCTATTGGAGCACTGGGTAGATCGTTCTCTGGGCAGTCGGACGTGTGCTCTGCGAAAGAAGAGGATTTTGAGCTCGTAGTCTTCAAGTTTGGCTCATCGCTGTTGGCCTGACGCGCACAACTTTCGGTAGTTTTCCTCAACAGGAGCCAGGAATTTTGCAGAATGTTACCCTCCATTATGAGCTTCTCATATCCCTTGAGTAGCTTGCGGACATCCACGCCCACCAGCTCGTCGGGCAACGTCTGGTCGCTGAACTGTCTCGATGTTTGGCGCAGATCCTCGAAGCGTTTGATCAGCTCCTTGATCTTGCCACCACAGTCCTGAGTCTCAGCCTTCGGTGCTACCGGAAATGAGATGGTCGATGCCGTTTTCGACTGTGGAGTTGCCGGATCATTGTTGATGGTGCGCAGAATCTGTGCGGTCTCATTCATAAAGGACTTCTGCCGCTTCCGAAGGTTCTGCAGACGCTGCTTCAGCTCGTCCAGATAGGCAAGCTGCTGCGAGGTTGGCTGCTTGCTGGCCATCCTGCCAGTTGCATTTATTTTACACCGGTATTTTAGATAAACATTTAAGGATGTGTGCTATAGGCACTGTTTGTGTAAGCAAATTGTGATGTGATTGGCATATAGAAACGTGTTTGCCTGATGCAAAGCACTCGGCTTACTAAATCGCAGGCTGATTTCATTCAAATCTGAGGCTCTGGTTGAATATTCTGATTTATTTTGGAAATACATGGCAATACATTTTATTTATATTATCTTAAATTACTTTGTCGGAGCTGTTGCTGGGCAAAGATGGCAAAGTGTTGGGAGTATCAAGAGATCGGAAGTCGTGCAAGTCCAGCATATAATGTCTGATCTTTTAAGAAAACGTCATGCTTAAAACCTTCTAGAGTCTAGTATTGTACTAGAATGAATGGGCCAATGTGCAGAAAAGATTATTAAAATAGTCTTCTGATTGCGTCAAAGACTTAGCAGGTCACAGATCCTGCAGGTCGAAGGCTCAACAGTTTGTAGATTCAAACGATCGAAGTTCTTTTAATGAACACCAAAGATCTGAGACTTAGATCTAAAATGTGTACAACAAAGTTTGCCTATCTAATTCCCCATATATATTAAGAGCTTATATCAAGAGGACAACTGAAGGAGAGTTTTGTGGGCACGAAAAGCTTATACTGATGAGATCTTCTGCAGTTTACATCATCTTTCATTTATTCATGGCATCCATTCTGACAGCTCTACCGACACCAGAGCCACAGCTGCTACAGTTATTAAATATAATTTATCTGCCCACCATCGACAGGGTATCCAGCGATCGACCTGGACAGTTCGCGCTGTTATCCCTGTTGCCTTTATGAGTTCCCAAATTGAGATATCGCAGCAGCGCGAATTGTCGAGTAAGCTGTAGCCCACTGACTGCCATGGATAGCGCGAACAATGGCGATTTTAGTCGGCGCTTTGCAGATACACCTATATATCTTTCGCTAAGCCGTGGATGCCGCCTGTCTCTGGGCAGTGGGTCGAGGGGGGCTAAGGAATTTCACTAAGCCGTCGCCAAGAAAACGTGCCGCTGCCTACCACACGGCACTCGGCCTGGCCAGGCCCAAAAGTTTCGACCGACTGCCGCTGCTGCTGATGCGGCTGCTGCTGCTGTTGATTTCACCTGGGGGTAGTGCCCGCCCTCGCCTGGGCTGCGGATCGCTGTGCTGGGCTGTTGTGCAATTGTTGTTTCATATTTTAATGCCTCTTTGCAGTCGGTAGGCGTGCCACGACACGATTCTTTTAGCCGATAAGCTGTTATTTTTATGTGCCGCCAGATCGGTGTTGATCTCGCAGAAGTGTGGGCCGGCTTACAGCCTTAAGAAGTTCAAATTATTACAGGGCAATTGTCTTGATCGTTGATTTATGTGCGCTTTTGTTGTCCAACCAGGCTCGACGGGGCAAATTTGCGCCGCTGCTGCTGAAATTTATTAGCCCGGCCATAACGTGCCTGCAATGCCATGCAATATGGTTAGTTGATTACGGTGCTCGGTAGCCACCGTTTTGCAGCACTACCCCCACTAGGCCCACTTAGTCGCTAGCTTATTAAGTCGAAATTTTACTGCTTTAAATGATTTTATTTCATGTTGTTTGTGTGCGTGTGTGTGTGTGGCCCACTCTTAATTGCAAAGCCCCTACAGCCCGCTTGGCTGACAGCAATTCTAATGTCGTAACACCGCCTCCAAAGCCCTACAGTCGGCCCCTTGCACGACTGCGCAATATTTTGGTCAAAGCTTCAAGCCTTCAATTCGCCCCGAACTTAATGATTTCATCTCTCATTGAATTCAAATTTGCTGGCCGTGGGGCAACGTGCAGCACAGCCCAGGAATGACTACATCGTGGGCGTGCCTTCATCATACGCCCCTTTGTTGCAGTCGACTGTGGACCTCTGGCCGTGGATCTGGCTCTGACTCTGGCTCTGGCTCTGGCTATTGCTCTTGCCGTTGTTGTGGACTGTTGAAAGCCGCTGCTGTCGGCCAATATAACGAATTTATTATTTATTTCACCTGACAGCCCGAGCAACAGACTCTATAAATTTCCCTAGCCCGACTCGACTCTCGCCTGGACTCGTATTTATGGCCTATCGCCGGACCGGGCTGGCTGGACTGGCTCGCTTTGGGATGCTCGTATGAAGAAATATTATTGATAAGGTAGGCAAGGCTATTTGGGTCTTGGGGTCCCTGCTCTGTGCTCTGTGCTCAGTGCTGATTGAAATGCCGTTGCCTCGAACAGCTTTATTTAACCGGGCTGCCGCCAGCTGTGGTCGAGGCCAGAAATCAGCTGAGGCGGCATCAAACTTTATGGCCAAACAAAAACAACTTTAACCCAATATCCTGCTTGTAGTCATAATTTGAGAAGCAAAGCAGAAATATATATATACATACAAGTATATTCAGCCGACCGCCTGGGTGCACAAGTCCAAGACCTAATCGGAGTCTGTTCGCTCTCATCCACACACAAACACAGCTTTGACTGGCCCGTATTTCATTATGAATTGCTCTTAACGATGTTTCATTTTTCATGTGCGCATTCATAAACCCTTTTTCCCATTTTGCGCTGCTGTTGAGACTCCAGACTCCGAGCAGATTGTTTGCATGGCGAGAAGATTTCCAGCTGCTGCTGCTGCTGCTGCCTCTCTTCAGGTTCCTTGGAATCTCGTTCGGTGAATAATTGCAACACGTTGTTGTAAGCAGAGACCGCGGCACCATCGACTCGCTTCAATTATGCACTTCCCCCGAGCAGCATTCAGTTCGTGTTGTTAGCTAACTGAGTTATCTCGCCCCTCCCTCGCTCTCGTTTATTTATTGTGGCTATTCTCCCACTCTGAAGCAATTCATATTTCAAGCATTACTAAAATAACAAAATCTTTTATTTTATAGAATTTCAATTAAATGAAAATCGTAAGACTGTTGGCCAAGCATTCTGGAAAATGTAATAGATTTGCTGATGTGGGGTATTAGAGTTTGCGTAATACTCGCTTTAATGGCTAATGAGATCAATGTTCTTAAACCATTATTCCTAGATAAAATATTTTAGTTAAATATTAAAAGCTCAAGCCGAGGAGAAGTTGATGTAAATTTGTAACTAAGTATAGTTTATACATAGTACTATAATTTTTTCTGGAAGATAATCTTATAAACTTCATAGTATTTTATAATATGAATAAGTCAAAGACTAGAGACCCTATATCATTTGTGAACAAAATCAATGTAGACCAAAAAATTATTATATAGTATTTGTCTAAACCCATTTTTGTAATATTTTCTTTAAACAGTCAGAAGATGACCCCTTTAAATAAATATATATCTGATCAGGACGACAATCTGAGATGATCTGCATGTGTACGTATAAATTCAGCGATCTGTTAAGCCAATAGAGCTAGAGATTTGCAATTTTGGAATATGTACTCGGGTAAGTAGTTTCAGCTAGACTAGTATTACTTGTTTTAGAAATATCCCGAGAGCTTAAACTCAAATGTAAAGAGTTTTCTATGAAACATATAACATGTAACAATAAACCATTACCACTATAACAAATTCAATCAATTCCTTTATGAATAAAGTCTCCATTTATTAATTTCTCATCCTACACCATTCTGTACTTTGTCAAATTAAACTTTGAAGAACTAAATTATAGCCGTGTAAACAAAGATAATGCCATTTCTATTCAGATTCTACCTATGCATCAGCAGCATACATCAGAAATATTCTTATTCAAAGAACCTATACCTACCATACTTCATCATAATTATCCCCAGCTTAATTAGCAATTTTATGCAATCATGAAATATATTTGAAATTGGAAAATTGTAGCTTAGGTAATTTGTCTAACGTAAAACTTCGTTTCAGATTCAGCAATTGCCGTCTTCAATTTCATTGCTCAGCTGGACTAGAGAGGGAGAGTCAGATGGGTAGAGAGGGGGAGGAAGACTGACTGAGGCTGGGCAAGGGTATTTCGTTCAGTTCCGTTCAGCTCAGCTTGCGCTGCGGCTGTCAAAGGCGCAGCGGGCAGCAAAATCGCGGTAAACACAATTGAAAAACGGGCAGCCCGAAGAGAAGGAAGAACTGTGCCCAGTCGTGAGCGCAAGAGTGCGGCGGCAAACACTCCACACTTGTCAACAGCGGCTCTACTGATTGTCTGCCCTGTGCAGCCAAGAGCCAAGAGTCCGCAGTCCGCAGTAAATACAGACACAGACTCTCTACACAGGCTCCCCTTGCTCCGATCAGGTATCTGGCGAACGGGGTCGAGGCTGTGGCTGTGGCTGCGGCGGCGGCGGCTGTCGGAGGCTGAAACGAGACTCACGCTTATGCTCACAAATCATAAATTGCCGCCTTAAAATTTATCTTCAATTTTCGAGACCCCATGTGGTGCTTAGCGAATGGTGTTTTGAAATTTATTGCTGCATTTGCAATAAATATTGTCAGTTGGGTTCAGCCAGCGAGCGAAAGAGATGCCATAGTGGGCGGCAGAGGGAGAGAGCTGACTTCTTTGGCGGCAACAGCAGCATTTGCTCTGTTGTTTGTGAGTATCTCTGTCTGTGTGTGTGTGTGTGATTGCTGCTGTAACGCCTCTCACACCATCTCCTGGCTAACCCACCTCTATCTCCCTCTCTCCCTCTCTCTCTCTCTCTCTCTCTTTCGCCTCGCCTGCTGCATTGTTTATGGTTTTCGTGTATATTAATGTGCGCTGATTGGGAGTCGAGGGAGTTGAGCGGGGCGCTTAAGCCGCCAGTCTCGCGGGCAGTTAGCAGCTGCCATTGTCCCAGGCCCCCCGTCCCCACCGCTGCATGTCCCAGGTCCCCGGTCTCAAGCCCCAGTTGCCAGTCAGATGGTTAATTTACAGCGCGAGAAATTGATTGCCAGTTGGAGGAGCGAACAATGAGTGGGGTGTTTCCCTAAACTCTGTTGGTTAATTGTGGCTTTTTCGACATCAGCTTAGTTGGCTTTGGCAGCAAAACATTTATGGAGCGGCCGTCGGCATTTGCCAACTTAATTGCACTCAAGGTGTTTATCGATTCATCAACAATCCGAAGATAATAGTCTTTATGACACTCGGCGACTGAGCGAATGA